GGGAGGAGGTAGGCAAGAGAGCGGAAGGAAGCACGCTGTCTGGTTCAGTTTCTCCTCGGGCTGCGTGACCCAGCCTCTCCTCCATGTTAGCTGTTGTCACTGAAGGTGGCTCCAGGGAGCCCAGCAAGCTGCCCAGTCTTCTCACTTTCTTCTGTGGCATCTGAGACTCCAGGATGGGCTCCAATTAGAAACTGCAGGGAGGGCCGCTGCAGTGTCTCTTGGCTCCAGAACTGATATTTCTGGGGCAGAGAAAGGTCCTGAAAGGTGAAACAAATGTTCCTTTCTAGCAGGGTTCTGACCGCTTCTCGGCCTTTTGGCTAAGATCAAGTCTAGCAGGGTTCTGGAACTGTCCCCAGCCTGGAACGGGTTATCAGATGCACAGCTCTGATGTCACACCTTATTCCCCAGGAAAAAAAAGTTCTTGATTACCTGAAAAAACCCAAGGAGTTTTAGGCATCACTTGAAAAGAAATGTCAAGACATACTGACTAGAAATCAAACCACAGCAGCTGCTTCCCACAGCTGCATGCCATGTGGCGACCTTGTTTGAACAGTTAGTGAGGCTTAAAATAGCCAGGAATGTAAAACTCTTCAGGATCAGGTCTCTCAGTGAGATAGCCACAGAAATCCACGGTGGGAAGGGGAGAGGGGAGGGTTGTCTTGAGACTGTTGGACCAATGGTCAGAGGACTATCAACTTGACAGCCAAAGAATCATACCAGAAGCCTCCAGTTCCCCACTTCTCTGAATGATTGAAGCTAATGGTGCCCATTTGACAGATGGCCCCTTAATTCTTGCAGATGGAGAATTCCCAATCTCAGTTATAATCCAAATACAGTTGACTTCCTAAGGAAAACAAAAGTAATGAAAAGTAGGCTAGGTGCAGTGGCTCGTGCCTATAATCCTAGCACTTTGGGAGGCCAATGCAGGAGGACTGCTTGAGCCCAGGAGTTTGAGACCAGCCTGGGCAACACAGCGAGACCTTATCTCTACCAAAAATTTAAAAAATTAGTCAGTCATGGGGCACCCACCTGTGGTCCCAATTGCTTTGGAGGCTGACACAGGAGGATCGCTTGAGCCCAGAAGTTCAAGGCTGTAGTGAGCTATGATGATGCCACTGCACTCCAGTGTGGGCAACAGAGCGTGATCCTGTCTCAAAGGAAATAGAAAGTAATGAAATGTAGAAGTGAGTAACTTCTTTTTTTCCATCCTACGCCTCAGCCTGTTAGCATGCAGAGTTTGATGCTCTACTAAGAAGCAGTCTTCTTTAGTTGTGAAACTAAGACTGGGACTTTCTCACCAATAGAGGGAAGAGTCAGTTGATATCAGAAGGAAGCATGCTTCACCAAAGACAAAAGCAAAAGGATGCTTTTTTTATTGTGGGAAATTCAAAACGATGCATGTACTCATTTAGCCCCAGAGAACATAGATATGCTTTCCCATACGTAGAAAAGCACCGACAACTTTTTTATTGCATTTTTCTTGTAAGAAAAACTAATTTGCCCTGGTAGCAGTAGCTCTGTGGCAATCATAATAACAGCAGCACGTGCTGACTGTGAACTGTACCGTGCCCCAGGCGCTATGCTGAGAGAGCTCTTTGCTGTGGATCATTACTTTTTGATCTTCACAAAATCTGTATGAAAATAATACTACCATCATCCCCATTTCATGGTTGAGGAAACTGAGGCTTGGAGAGGTCAAGAAGTTTGCACCGGGGCTCACTGCTTGTTGGGGGAAGATGGAATTTGCCCCGGCCGCTCTCACTCCAGGACTAGCACTCTTTTTTTTTTTTTTTTTTTTTCTGAAACAGGGTCTTGTTCTGTGTCCCAGGCTGGAGTGCTGTGGTACAATCAACTATTCATTGTAGCCTCAACTTCCCAGGCTCAGGGACTCAGCCTTCTAAGTAGCTGGGACTACAGGTGCGCACCACCATGCCTGGCTAATTTTTTTGTAGAGATGGGCTTTCGCCATGTGGCCCAGGGTAGGACTGGCACTCTTGATTGGAAAGCCCCTCAGACACTGTTTTGTCTTGAGACTGAATGGAGTGATTTTTGTAGTCTTCTAAGTCTCCTGTGGAGAGCTTTTCTGTTTCTCATTTGCATCATGCTCTTTCGCTGTTGGTGACATTTCACACTTCTGTCCTTTCCTTTTCTCTCATGGAGTTGATGAATGAACACTGAATCGGAAATGTGAAGCCCAAGGTGAGAGTTTCACTTCCGCCCCTAACTACGTAAGTGATCTCAGTTCACCACCTCTTTGGGCCTGGTTTCTTGTCTATAAAAGGGAGTTGTTGGGTGATAACCAAAGCCCACCCCTGTGCTAAATATCTTTCTTTCTTCTCTTTCTATTTTCCCACCTGCCTTCCCATCTCTTTTCCCTTCCTTCTCTTCCTGGCCACTGGCAAGCCCTGGGTCCCACCTGATCCTTTCCTTCCATGTAGTAGGCAGGGAGAGGCAGTGGTGTTAGTTGCACTGCTGTCTAATAATTGTGGGGGACACTAAGACTGAAGAGCCTGACGGCCACATGATGCTCCTGATGGAGCCCACAGACAGAGCGGACCCTCCTCAGTGGGTAATGAACAAAAGCTGGCTGTGCAGTCCTCTACCCCACTCTTGCTTTTCCATGTTCTTCCTGTCATTAGGGTCCTCACACTGCCCCTTAGCTCACCCTCCCACTTTGTGCCAGGCCATCCCAGCCTCCTGCACTCCCTCCTCACCTTAGCATCGCCTCTCTGTGCTCTACGTCCCATCCCCTGGGAACTCTGCTGTCTATTTAGGAAGCAGTCCATCTTCCTAATATGTCCCCACACATCCCTTCCAGGTACTATAATGCTTTAACTCATTGTAAGTCAACATCTGAAACAAGGCCTTCAAGAAACTAGGGTAGATTGGGACAGAATTCTTTCATTCTGACCACCAATGAGGGACACCCATTTTTGGTGAAAAGACTTTCATTATAACCCTGAACTCTGTGGTTGCAGCTCAACATTAGGACACAGGTTCAGGCCTCTTGTGGTGAGATGGGAGCAGGGATAGTGAATGACCTCATAATCCATGAAGAGAATTTATTTAATACCTCTCTCATTTTTAGTTAATATTTTGCTTAATTAATTTTAATTATTTGCTCCTAGAGGATATGTAGATTTTATTAGACTTGAATATTTGGAATATTTCAGAGAAACTGAGATTTTTTTTTTTTTTGGAGACGAAGTCTCACTCTGTCACCCAGGCTGGATTGCAGTGGCGCAATCTTGGCTCACTGCAGCCTCCGCCTCCCAGGTTCCAGCAGATCTCCTGCCTCAGCCTCCTCAGTAGCACTGGGATTACAGGCGCACGCCACCATGCCTGGTTAATTTTTGTATTTTTTGTAAAGACCGGGTTTCACCATTGTTGGTCAGGCTGGTCTCAAACTCCTGACCTCATGATCCACCCACCTCAGCCTCCCAAAGTGCTGGGATTACAGGCGTGAGCCACCGCACTGGGCCCTGAGATTTATTTAATCTAGGTTAGCTGGCTAGGGTTGTATGGACCAAGAAGTACTCACCACCTGTATCTCAGCAAATTAATGTTTTCCCAAGACATTTAAAATTATTGATCATGAATTTCACTGTCATCTATATTTAAATATTCCTTAACACTATGGCCACTAAACATAGGAGCAATTTATATGAGGACTTGAAAATTCCTCCTTAACCTCCTCACAGTTCTTTTCAGTTTGTTCCTGATTATGCAGGAATTTGCAGGCCCTCATCAAATGAAGTCTGCCTCTACAGAAGACTGCCCTACTCTTCACTACCATAGGCACTTGTTTTAGACGGCAGAAACAATATGCATTTCTTGAGCCTTCCCTTCCCTATTTTAGGTGTGTTTCTAAGGAGTAGGTTGGTTGTCATGGTTCAGGATGGAAGAAGACTGCAGTAGGCAGCGGAGGGAGGCAGGCCATCTGGCCCTGAGGGAGGGGTCTTCAGGAAGTCAGGAGACAGACAGGCTGCCGGCCGGAAGGTTTTAGATGTGTTCTTGCTTACAGCTGAACTCAAGGTCAGATCTTTTCTCAAGGCCCAGTTCTAGACTTCTGAGCTTCCAGACTGAGGTCTGATCTTTGGGGTAGGCCCATGGGTGTGTCTCAAGATTTTGCTGAACAAAGGGGCCTGACTCCCTGCACCATGTTCTCAGCAGCTCAGTCCTACCATTCCCTGATTTATTTCCACCCCCTGCCATTCCAAATACCACCTGCAAGGAAGATGAACTTTGCCAGTCACCTTTGAATATGGTACAGCAATTCATTCTTTTTTTTTTTATCTTCTTTTTACAGTGCATTTTTTTCAAGGTGCTGTTTTTTTGTTTGTTTTTTTTGTTTTGTTTTGTTTTGTTTTTGAGATGGAGTCTCGCTCTGTCATCCAGGCTGGAGTGCAGTGGCACAATCTCGGCTCACTGCAATCTCTGCTTCCCAGGTTCAAGTGATTCCCCTGCCTCAGCCTCCCGTGTAGCTGGGACTGCAGGCACACACACCACCACACCCAGCTAATGTTTTGTATTTAGTAGAGACAGGGTTTCATGAAGTTGGCCGGGATGGTCTCGGTCTCCTGACCTCATGATCCACTCACCTCGGCCTCCCAAAGTGCTTGGATTGCAGGCCTGAGCCACCGCGCCCGGCCCACAACCATTTTTTTTAATTCATCATTGTTCTGTCAGTGGCTGTGCCAAGGTCCTGGGATACCACAGTGGCTTCTAAGATAACCAGAGAACACATATGACTCCTAGGATATACAGAGCATCTGTCTAGATAAACAGGAGAGTGATTAGGAAATGGCACTCCAGTCAGACCCATGCCCTGCATCCTGGGAGCCCCACCTCAGCGCGAGCAGAGCAGTCAGGAGGCAGCTCCCCGCTAGCCCACACCAAGCTGTCAAATGCTGATTATTCATCGGCATGCCTCTCTATTATCTCAGAAAGCAAGGTGCTCCAGACCCAGGAGAGATGTGTCATAAAGGGGAGACTTTGCCTGATGGATAAAAAGATATATGTTCCTGCCCCCGTTTTGCTATTTGCTGAGTTTTCGAAGCCTCTCCAACCACACCCCTTGGCTCTTTGTGTGACTTCATAGCAAGGCATTCGTGCTAGCAGGATGTTTCTGGGCGCAGTCGCTATTGCATTCTGGAGGCTGACTTCGGGAAGTTCTCTCTGTGGACTTTGTGCACAACGGCAGGGTCCATCATCCTCAGCTAGTGTGAGGCAGGTCCCATACTGGGCTGAGCAGTTACAGGGGCGGTGCAGACCGGTTTCCACCCTCAGAGTACAGTCTCATGAGCCTTTCCCTGTTCATGCTGAAATAAGGTTTGAGAGATGATACCCTGAGTTGGGGCTTTGAATACAAAAAAAAAAAAAAAAAAAAAAAAGGTGCACAGATTGATTTTCTTTTTCTGGAGCATGAATCTGAGCAGGAAAAGTGTCACGTGAAGCAAACTGCTGCAGTATGGCTCCCGTGGGCCTGCATCTTCAGGGTTTCCACTAATCCTATTTCACATGGCTGCAGGGGTAGCCCTTTCTTCTCCCTTCTTAACTATTTCTAGCTAAGATATCTCCCTGGTTTTTAAAAAGAAAGAAAAAAAAGGCCTGCTGTTTACCCGCATCTCCATCTCTTAATGTTTTTGTCTTATATCGATCCTATACCCTTAGCTGACCCAAGTCCCTATCGCCATTCCCTTTCAGCAATCCAGTGAGCTCATATGCCAGCAGATGATGTAAGCTCCAAATCATCACCTTCTTGGGAAAGACAGACAAACAAAAACAGCCGGAAGGAGGGCAGGCGGGCTGGGAGGGGCGTCGGCTAGGCAGAGAAGCGCGGCCTGCAGGTCTGCGGGGGGCTGCGGGGGGCTGCAGCAGGTCTGCAGGGGGGCTGCAGGGGGGCTTGCGCTCAGGCTCAGGCGGGCGGCTGCTTCACTTCAGCCGCAGGCGCTGGGGCCCGCGTTGCCTTGGTGACCACGTCGCACTCAGAGCCGCAGCCTCCGCCCCCGCTGCCGCAGCCCACCCAGCAGGCGCAGATTCCCTTTGTCTCCTCTGCCTCCCCTCCTCCCTGCTTCCCTGCGCCTCCTCCTCCCGCCTTTCCTTTGTCGCCCCGGATTCCCCAGCAGCCGCCCTTCCTGCGCTCCGCTCCCGCTGCAGGTGCCAGGGCCTGCGAGGACGCGGCCTCACCGCTACCCCCAGCGGGCCCGCCCGGTGCCTGGCATGAAACCAGTATTTCAAAAAGTGGTGCTGGGCCGAAGCCACGCACAGGAACTTGCTTCCCTCACCTGGGCGGCCTCGCTGGCCTCCAGCCGGCCTGTTACGAGCAAAGCAGAGCCAGGAGATGTAACAGTCCCCCTTAAGATCCCAAGAGATTCCCCACGGCCCTCTTCCTCTTCCTTCCGTTTGAGAGGGAGTGGTGTCACTTGGTGAGAGGGAGGAGGCTGGAGGAAAAGGAGGTGAGACTCCGTGGCCGGTGCCCTCCTGGCCTAGCTTGCGGGGAGGCAGGGCCCACATCCCCCTCCCGGGCCGCAGAGAACCCGTCGGCTGCTGAGTTCTGCGGCTCGATGGCATTGCGAGACCCAGAGCAGAATTTCCAGGGCCTCTGAGAGTTTAAGTCGTGATTCGGAGGGAGGGGGTTCTGTGAGCAGAATGTGCTGCTGTTAGCATTCACAGTCACCTGGTGATGAAGGGTACTGGGGATTTGGCCACAGTGATGAGCCCCACCCAGAACCCTGTTTGTCCTGGAGCAACATAGCAGCTCTAGCGGCATGGGCCTCAAACATAAGATTGGCTCATATTCTAGCAGATACCCGCTTAGTGTGTGCCAGTCTTAGTGTGGATTGATACACGCTAAGTGGTACTGTGGTTGCTCCTGAGGAGGGAAATGGAGGCCAGGCGATGGGGAGGAAGGAAACATGCTTTCCCTCTAAAAGCTTTGGAACCTGTGAATATTATACCATGTGTATTTTTTATTCACTCTTTAAAATCAAATGTTTTTAATACACTTTTTCCAGAAAGTGTTCACTGACTCCCCCAACAGTAAATAAGACTAGATTAGGTTTCCATCACGATTCCATTGCAGTCTGTACTTTTACTGTCAGAGCTCTTCACAGAATTATGAATAAACAATAATGAGTGTATAATTCATGCTTACAAGATTCTTCCACACCAGGCTCTGGGCTCCATGAGGGCAGGAGCAGGACCTGGCTTATGCACCACTGTATCCACGAGGGCTGGCATGCAGGCTTTAGTCAATGTTTGTTGAAGAAAGAATTGAGAAGGGAACAAGAAAGAGGGTGATGGCCAAGTGGCGGGCCAGGTTCTGTCCAGAGGGTGAGCTACAGTGGCAGGGGGGGTGCCCATCTCCACGTTGTCCTCTGAGCTCTGTGACCCTCGGGGGCTTAGTCCCTCCTTCACAGTCACTTCTAGAATGTTGTTCCAAATCATTCTTGTAACGCTCCTTCCTAGTATATGTTTAAGAATTGTCATAATAAGTGTGATTAATCAATTAAATTGTATGTGAGGAAAATCCTATCACGTGCTAGGCCAGTTCCTGGGCAGCTAATTGGAGCATTTATCTGAGGCAAAGCAGGGCCAGCTCTTCTTCCGGTCGTTCTGAGGGAGGGTGATGCTTGGACCATTTACAGCAGTGATCACAGGAAAGTCACCCCGGGAGCCTTAACAGCATGACATTCAGAGGCCCACAGGCAGACAAACTGAAGCAGAGTCTCTGGGGTTGGATCCTGAACACGACTAGGGCCAGTATTTTTCATAAGCTTAATGTGCAATCAAGATTGAGAACCTTTGCTCTCTGGGCTCCCAGAGACAGGCAAGAGGAAGTGGGGACACACACTCACCAAACCCAAAGATTCCATTTCAGCTGTAAAGCTGATGCTGATACACTTGAGGCTAGACGAAGAGGCTCTTTGCTTCAGCCCCTTTCAGATTATGTCAGTACTGCTCATAGAACTTCTCTTTGCCTTTAAATGCCTCTGGATCCCCTCCTAATACAGTCATTTGAAACAAATGCGTAACTGTCTAATCAGGGCACAAACCATTTTTCAGACTTGCCTGGGCAGCAATGACCTAAATATTACTCAGGGTGTCTGACTTCCAGCCCCAGAGGAAGAATGTATTTGGTTTGATTGTTTTCATGCTAATAAAGTTGGGCCAGTAATTCAAGGTCCCCATTGGGATAGCTGAATCCTTCGATGCTATGAATTAGTTCTTTAGACAGAAAGCAGTGGAGTAGAGTTTTTATTGAATTATTCACCTTCCAATGGAATCACTGTGTACCCACGCTAATTTGTTGTGCCATTGTTAATGGATATAAGATAAAAGGAGCAGAAACTGGAGAGGTTGGCGTTAAGTGGCCCAGCCCATTTATACCAGCCAGATATAAGGAGTAAATCTTCTGAAAATGTGTCCATTTAATCCACTTACAAGCCAAAGGGTGTAGGGAGTAGCATCAGATCGTTCTGCTCACTCTCTCCCAGGTAACCCTGCAGGCAGTAAATAAGACCTATATTAGAAGCCACTAAAGCTGTAAACACACACAGCAGGGAGATCTGCCTAAACTGCCCACTGAGACATCCGACGCAATTGGCCTTCTCCTAGAAGTGTGTCTGCACTCAATGTCAAGCCAAATTTGGCAAGAAGCCATCTGGAGACACTTCACATTTAAATCTCCTATGAGACCGGAGCCAGGGAAACGAAGACTTCTCTGGGGCTCTCAAAACCAGTCGGTGATCCTGGAGAAAATGGGGACTCTTCGTGGTAGGCAGGAAAAGGGCAAATGTGGCCTGAGAGAACCCACACTCCTGTTCCCAGCCCGCAAGCTTCAGCCTGGATCTAAACAACCCATTTCTGGAAACTTAAAATAAAAAATAAGAGAGCAGTCAAATGGACTTGAGACCCCCACAGGGTCTTTGATGTGTCTACCAGCAGCAGCATGGTGAGTGGTTTCTGTGATGTGGGATTCCAGAGCAAGAGGCACTGGACCATGGCCACTGGCTCATCTCTCATTATAGGGCCAGAAATAGATGCCCCATCCCAGGAAAAGGGAAATAAGGCTGTGTGGAATGTTTCATCTGTTGGAATATTGTTCTGCTCTGCCTGACAGGATTACTGAGTTCTCAGTTCTGTAGCAGCAGCATTGAGTAAGAGTCTGAAAATTGATGCATTATGTACTCACTTAAAATAGCAAATGCAGAATAGAAAAAGCAGAGCTGCTAGGAAGTGTGCAGAACATATTGATGGAAAGGCCTGCTTTGCCTCTGTTATTACCAGCATGAAAGTGTGTATCAGAGCAGGGGGTAGATTTTCCATCAGAAGCAATTGAGCAGTAGCAGCTCCTTTACCGCAATGAGACAAGGGTACGTTTTTTTAGCTGACATAACTGAGTGTAAATCTTTCTGTTCTCAAACAGGTGGTAGAAAGTGGGCAATTTGTTTCTTTTCATCTCAGTGTTCTGGGCTTGGTTTATGAGATAGCTGCCTCTGTTTTAACTTCTTAGAATTCCCCTCAGAAGAAAAATCCCCCACCACCTGCTGCCTAATCAAATATTCTTCACCGTGGATTATAGTTGCCTGGATGGGAGCAAGGTTCAGTTCCAGTGTGATGGAAAATATACAAAAAGAACGATGTCATCAGCCTTAAGAAGAAAGCATTAACCTTTGTCCTTAAAAATGGGATTTAAGGCTGGGCATAGTGGCTCACATCTGTAATACCAACACTTTGGGAGGCTGAGGCCAGAAGGTCTCTTGAGCCTAGGAGTTTAAGACAAGCTTGGGCAACAAAGTGAGACCCTGTCTCTATTAAAAAATCAAAAAATTAGCCAGGCGTGGTGGTGCATACTTCTGGTCCCAGCTACCTAGGAGGCTAAGGCAGGAAGATGACTTCACCAGGAGGCGAAGACTGCAGTAGGCCATGCCTGGGAAACTGGGTGAGACTCTCAAAAAACCACCGGAGGAGGGGATTTAAAAATACCCAAGAACAAGTTAAAAAGTCCTTCTGGAATTGACAGGCCTTTTTGCCCTGGAAGGTGGCATAGCTGCTTCTTAGGGGAATATCCGTGGTCAGGGGCAGAGGCCTTGAGAGGCTGAGCAAAGGTCCTTTCAGCCCTGGTATCATCCGTGTAGCTAGCATTCCGACACTAACAGCCTCCTCCATTCAAGCGCTTCCTCCATTAACACACATTAATGGGGTACTTATTCGATGCCAGGCACGGCACTAGCCACTGTGCATATATTTCCTCCTTTGACTCTCTCCAAAACCCTTTAGAAAAAAGAACATTATCACTGTTCATTATCCCAGTTAAGGAAACTGAGTTTAAAAGGATTAAGTAATTGCCCAGAGCCAGACAGCTGGATTTGAACCCTAAGCTAATTGATTCCAAACCTTGTAATATTCCCACTATGCCTCCATTGTCTCCTCTTTTGATTAAGCAACATTCCTAGAAATACACGGAACCCAGAAGGCCCCTGTCCCCATCTCTTCCCTGCTGCTGCTGCCAGCTGGAATGTCTGACTCCCGGATGTGTTATAACTAAAGTTCTAAAAGACCAGTTAGTATCTAAGAAAAATCCCTTTTTTCAAGCTCAGCAAGCAGTGTGACATGCTAACAGCCCCTGCATCGTGACTCAAACTAACTATAATTTGCTGATTGTTGTTGGACATTGACTAGTTTCCAAATTTGTATAGGTCACCACAGTTTTAGAGAGCGTGACCTGCTATTTGCAAAGCAAGGATTAGATCCTCCTTCTTTTCCTCTTTGTAATTTGCACTGTTGCTTCTAAGAACAGTGTTTTTTAAAGTTTGGACATTTTCAGATAAAGATTGCTAGAAATAATTGTGTGAAAAGTACTTTTAAAATAAAAGAATAACATTGAATAGAAAATTAGAAATCTTGTGTAGCTGCGGTGGCTCACACCTGTAATCCAGTGCTTTGGGAAGCCAGTGTGGAAGGATGGCTTGAGCCCAGGAGTTCAAGACCAGCCAGGGCAACATAGGAAGACCCCATCTCTACCAAAAAAAAA